ATTAGTTCAGGAATATTCATATTACCACAAAAATCTTTCTTTTGCTTAATTTAATGAACGTTATTATCAAAATTTATACTGAGAATTTCTGTTACTTTCGCACAGGATATGCTTGCCTGGGTTTCCTTGTTCAAAAACCTCTTCAAGTACGAACACACAAGAAACGAGTGGACCCATTACTGATATGGATATAGCCACGATTTCTGGTGGCCATGAGGACAGCCAGACAACCACAAGGACTTCAGAGGGACTGAGCCATCAAACGAGGGGTACTTTTCAATCAAGTGGTTACATACATGTTCAGAGGGTAACATCATATCAGGAACTCCACACTTATGATCGCCCTTTGTAAGAAAGTTTTATTACATAAATGTACGTTAAGCCAAGTTTCTTTATTTTAAATAATAAAGTACATTTTTCACGAATAATTTGATAAGAAGCATTGCATAAGGTTTAAAAATATAAAAGTCGTTATAAATAGTAAATTTTCTATTTCAAATCATTTCTTAATTCCTATCACATTTATTTGCTTTCCTTTCATTGCAGATATTAAAGAATTCAAGAATAAGTCCCATTCTTCCATAGGTTGTACATTTTTGAAAATGTCTTCATCAGAGGTCCATATGATACAACTGTTACAGTGTAGCATTTTAACTCGATTATATCATTTCATATCAATTTCATATTTGCTGACCGCTGTTTTCCAAACAAATTGTTAGTGCATTATACATACACTGATTTGACGACAGATTTTTCCTGGGTTTTTTTCCCGCGATCGTGACAAGGGGCACACGACGGATGTGACAGTGTATAAACTGGTCGCTATGAGCCTGTTAAAATGATGTTATTTCGTAAAACATGGTGTATATTGTATGCAGAGGGGGAAAAATTAAGGAATATTTTCACAATAAAAATGTATTTTATAATTGAACCAAATATAATATGAAGATATTAAAGAGCTAAATATCTGATGATTTTTTATGATTTTATTAAAACATTTTTTGTTTGTCTTTTTCCATTAACTAATAATTAGTGTGGTGTATTTGCCTGAAGGTACATTTGCCGACAATGCAAGACTTTTGAGAACTCCTTCTTGTTATAGGGCAAACCCTAAGTCGATCGTAGCATGCTTTTAAACATGAACTATAAAAATAAAAAGTGCCGAAATCCTGTTGAAATCTTGAAAACGAATTCATTATTTCTATTGTACTTCCCCAGCACAAACATCACTATTTAGACAGACAATTACATGCAAGATTTTTATAGGAAAAAATTTCAATTCATACAAAATATTAACACCGTTCACAAATTTCACTCAGTGTTGAATATAGTTATCAATATAACTTTTTATTAGAACTTGGTAATGCCATTGCACTACGGAAATTCGTAAATGACATCAATTAACGCAAATTTTCTGCCAAAATGTGACTGTTACATCACTGACGAGTTCAAAAGTCAATTTAATCGTGTCCCATGTGTAGTTTATAAACATAATCGCATTTGTCAGATATTAGAAAAATGCTAGTATGAAAATGAATGACATTGTTCTTTTTATGAAAAAACAAATGCTTAGATTTCCATTGGGCACCGTATATCATCTACAAGTATTACTAAGTAAAAAAAATGCAGTTAAGAGATTCAAATTTTATAAATGTGTACAGTAGTTTTCGCATTTCAGATTGAAGTGGTTTTGGATTGCAATTGTTTTTCGAAATAAGGAAAAATCTTGTTATTTTCCTCAAAGATATCAAGATTATTTCATAACATTAATTTATGATCATTATATAACATAAAACCATATAAGATCTCACTGAAACAAATGTCCGTAAAGTAGTTTATTTATGACAAATTTAGCATAAAACCGATAACCAATTTATTCCGTGTCAAAATATTAGTTTCGGTTTCAGATGTTCTATAGTCAAGACTCAAGACATTGCCTTACGCAAATCATTTGTCCTTTATCTCTACACTTAATCGTCTACAGAATTTACTAGATTAAGACAAACAGAGAAACCAGGTGTAACCGGCTGGTGGGGAGTGTTCGCTCCTCCATTGCATCTGATGCCACTCTATTTTCATATGTCCGTTTCATAATTTGTAAGGTTTTTTTACATCAAGTGTGGAGTTTTATTACTTTGCATCCATGTAGCTCCGATTTTGAAAGTGTGTGGGAGGAGGGTGGGGGGCAGCCAGATAATTTTTTACATACATGAAAAAAGTTGACTAGCAAAAAAATGAAGGAAAGGTTGCCCATTATCGAAAATCCTATTTCATGGTGTGGAAAAAGGAATATTAATTACAAATTGTATGCCTCAATTCAAAAACAGAGTCAATGCGATTTTCTTTCCAGATCAGTCACCTTTTTTGGAACCAGATCATTCTTTTTTATTTTGTGATTAAAGGTAGGAGACAAATTTCTTTATACAAGCTACATGCATGTAAGACAATTTCGCTGACAAGTATTATTGTGAGAGCGCTATTTACATGGAACCGATAAAATTCATTAGATAAAAAGAAGATACAATTCAATATATGAAATGACTTGGTGTTTTCCGATTATCTAAAAAAATAATAAATACTTAGTAGTCAGCTATTTTATTTAGATAAAACATGCTTCACAGTTCATGTCACATATGTGCACGTTTACATTACACGGACATAAGAAACTAATCAAAGTACTCAGAAGTACAGAGAGCCGGGCTTATTTACAGAGTGGAATAAATTTATTACATAAATCATAAGGTATGTTGTATTAACAGATAAATAACAAGAATCTCAGATAAAAAATTTCGATGAAAAAATTATTTTACAACTATCAATATAAATGATAAGACACTGACAGTGAGTTTTCGATCCTAATACCACGGTCCGATTTTGTCAAAATCAGAATTAATCTGGTACCGCAGCTGAATGTAAAGGAACAGGCCAGTCTGGTTCCCTCTCCTGCTTTTCCTCGTATGTGTAGAGAGCTACGATAATACTGATTATCAGAAATCCTTGCACTAATGATCTATCATGAAGTTTTCAAAGTCATTACTACTAATTTAATGTTGATTTACTTAGATAAAGCTTCATTTTATTTTGTTGCTTTATTTAGCGTTTTTTATCATCTCAAAAGCGGTTGAGAGTAAGAACTATTTTTTTTTTTTGCACGTAACTTTAAAATGGCGACTATGGGGTTGACTTCCTGTTTTGAACAGGATGACATGAGCCGGCAATTGCTCTCTGAGCAATAAGCCCGGCTAAAAATGGCTGATTTCTAAGGCCTTAAGATTTCTGATTATTCAACTGACGCAACAATGTTCATGAAACATTTATTAGCGAAATTTTGAATAAAATCGATAGGAAATGATTCTTTTCGCAAATTGTAGACGATCATTTCGTACATATAAAGTAAAGAATCGTAAGGTCTTTGAGCAACGAGCTGGTGGAAAATTTGTGCAGACAGGACAATACCCCAAAAATGTTTTTTTTTTCTCGTACTACCTACACATACATAGGATCAACGTCTTCAAAAGGTGGTGGCTTTAATTTGTAAAAATGAAGGAATTGAAAATATGATTACAGTGTACCAACTCCTTTGGTACCTCAAAACCCCACGATCGCACTGACCTTGCTCCCATGGCATTTGCATCGTTCCATACACAATCACTTAACTACGTCGACATTTATTTCAAGAATACTGTCTAGTATCACTAATATCTAATACTTTACATAAAATATTTCAGACAAAATGACATGTCAGATTAAATTGTTTCGTATTGCTAATTGTAAGCAGGAAAAAAGACATAAACTTTCTATAGAAATGAGATATTATCAACTTTGTTAAAGATTGACATGTTTGAGTAGGCTTAATACGTAACTTAAGGTAAAAAAAAAAGGTCAAGTAAATGTCTTGTTGAGTCCTACATGTAATACCGCATAGTGATTTTCGTTTTCATTTTTTTGTTTCGTAAATAGACCTGATTTATTTACGTATTGAATATATGCCAAATACAGTTCTGCATTACAAAATATCAGACAGTTTGAGGCCCGTTAGGGCCGAAAACTGTCTGATATTTTTTAATACAGCATTGTATGAGGCATATATCGTACTTAAAACATTGCTTTTTGATTTACCTGAGACAGTCCGATATTAGAACAAAAGACAAAGGTGTTAATGAACACTGAAGAAATTCTTTTAAGATTGCAAGCTAAATGAAAAGTACTCAGTATTTAGAGATTTGGCTATACTGAAGAGGTTATTTGAAAGAATTTGATAAGGAGAGTTGGGACAAAATTTTTCTTCAATAAAACATACACGGAGATTAAAGCAGTGCTATATAAATGGTGCCTGTTTTGGAGGGTAACATTTGAAATTGACAACCCAAGGAAAACCATTGTCAACCGACGCGTCAGCGGAGGTTGACAATGGTTTTCCTTGGGTGTAAATTTCAAATGTTATCCTCCAAAACAGGCACCATTTATTTATTATACTGAATGTCTTATTGATTTAGAACGTCAGCAAAAAAAAACCGTCGATCGTCTTTACGTTCATGTATAGAAAGCTTTCACACTCACCGGTTCACTAATCTCCTTATTGTTTGTTTGATACTCGAATTAGAGTCATTTATGATATAAAGTTTCGTTATTTCTGGCTCGCAAGCATGTTTCCTACACTCGCAAGCATGTATCGTCTGTCGTTTGTTGTTTTCAAGTAAGCTATATCGGACGCAAGCTTTTATTGACGTCAAGTTAATTCCAGTTCTTTCAAACGCGCAACTCACGTTTTGAGAATCGTACGCGCATAATTTCCACGCATGTGGCATTGCCGTTGTGTTACCCGTTGTCACGTGTGTTGCTAAGGCTCAGGGTAATCGAACGGATTGTTAACTGCGTCTAAACCAATCAGATTTTAGTATTTAACATGAAAGTATAATAAAACAAATTATTATACAGACAATCTAGTGAATGATGAATTTGGAATGGAATAGAAAATGCCGATATGAAGAATATCCACAGAAAATTAAGCAGATGCTAAAGGTACAATAGTCCATTTCATTTTTTTTAATGTTACGCTTCTACCTTTGTTTTTGATGTTCCATTACATAAAAACAAACATAATCAATAATCCAGGAGTTTTAAGGGAAATGTTGAAAATCTTCAAATTTCTTAAAATTTGTTGCAAAAATGTCAAATTAAAAATTGTTTGAATGCCTCTTTTTATAGTCTAAACTTTGAGTTTTATTATGAATTTATTTGGGGGCTTTGACAGTTTCTGTGCTTCTCTGGTGATCCCCAGTGTACCCACTCTTTTTGAAAAAAAAGAACCAGACAAAGGGGTTGAAACACTTCTCCGATTTTAATTAATTATTAGAAGTTTACCCGTTTTTTTTTTGGGGGGGGGGGGTTTGGTTTGTTTTTTATTTGCATTATTTGGTCTGCCGCATGTTCTTCTTCCTGTTACAGTATATTCGGTGTAATTGAAAGGTTATTTTTTTTTAATTTTGAAATTCTGTAAGAACAATGTTTTAAAATCATCATTTTATGTGAGGAAATAAAATTGCTGTGTGATAAATTATCACACTTTTTTATTTCTTTTGTTCAGTAGCAGTTCAATTTTGAAGGATATCAGTAGAGACAGTCTGATATTACGATTAATATCAGACTGCTCACTAATATCGGACTGCCACAGGTAAATTTTTAGACTGCAAGAACAAAGGAATGACATTACAGCAATGTTTTAATTACTCACAAACAAAAAGAATTTAATCAAACAAAAGACTTTCATTAAAGTTTTCAATAAATTTTCTGCTAAAATATGCTACAAATACATTTACATTGACCCTTTACGTTGCGTGTAACTGTTGAAATTTTAAAATACATTAGAAGAATGGGTATTAATTTTTTTTTGCATGTAATGCATGCATAGTATAACTAACCTTTAACTTCTATGAACATAAAGAAATATGTACGATATATATCAGTACACGATTCAATTTAGTTGCATACTTATTTCATAATCATTCCTTGTTAAGTAGGTTCTCTGTAGTCATCAGACCTTTCTTTTGATAAGGCTCAGTATATAAATATGTACGTGCCAATAATTTTGGAATGACCACAAAAATATTTATATAAAACGGATATTGCGTTCCTCTTCATTATTGTCTTTCAGTTTGCACTCTTTCAAGACGGGAATACAATAAATAAATGGTAAAATATTTTTCCTTGATTATTTTCATATTAGATTCTTTAATGCATTAATTATCTATTAATTAAATAAAATAGTGTTAATATTGCTAACATTAAAAAGTATTAAAGCTTTTGTTTTATCAATTTCTTGTATCTCTTTTTCAGCTGATTTCCATTGTCAATTCATTTTTACTGCTCCATGCAGTTGCTTTTGGTTTACCCAGTAACTTGTATCTGGGAGTGGGCTATAATATATTAAAGGCAAATCCAGATGGGGGTGACTGGTCATCACTTGGACAGGATCCAGGTCTTTTGGTGACCAGAAACATTTTAGACACTGCCGCGGGTGGACAGCACTATATTAAAAGTACAAACTACCCACAATGCAGTTCTGCATTATCAACTTGGGTTTTCTATGACCCAAAAACTTATCAGGAATATTTACGACACTACGTAACGATCGATGGTATGTTAATCAATCATCAGTTGTTTTCTTTAAATATCTTGATTTGATAAATTTTGATAAGAATAAAGACGAATTTAAGATTAGGTTAAGACAACTAAAATCCCAGAACTTTAACATTAAAGAATATTAAAGTGAAAGCATAAGTTGCGTTTTAATTTAGTATTAATGTAATATTTTTACCAAATTATCGTTCGATCTACATAGTATTTTACATGTCCAATATGAAAAGTTATTTATAGCATAATTATATAATTTCAGAGCTGACAGTGTCCAATGTTTCGTTGTATGCATTTTCAGAAAGTCAATGTAAGTACGAAAACCCCAGATTTTTTAATAGCTTTTGAAAGGTGTAACATTAAATATATGAAATATGAAATGATAACATATAGTAATAATTTTGTAAAAAGGGAACCCTTATAGTTTGTTGAGTATTTTTGGCCTTTTAAATTCGTCTTTTCTCTCTGTATAGTTATCTTAAAACAGATGTTCCATTTGGGAATAAATATACACTGTGAGGGGTCCAGCCGAGTGTCTTGATATGATGTTTTGTGAATAATTTTATATTGACAAATTCGGAAACACAAAGCAGACCATATATTTGCTCGAAAATACGCAATTAATATAGATGTAACTTACAGTAAAAAGGAAAAAAACCTGCAGTGGCAAACCTCTGCAATTGATTTTTTACTAAATATTATGATGAATGTGATTTAGTGATTGCGTATTCTATTTACTGCTATCTAAATGGTGCCTATTTTACAGTTGGCAGTTGATAAGATAAACTTCACAACATTCTACTATCAGCTATTGCAATGCCAAAATTATTTTAAGTAAACTTTCCTAACCATATTTGCAAGAAATTTAATTTAATATGTGCAAAATATCTGAAATTGATATGTGATGATCAAAATTACCAATATAAATGCATCGGTTTTATGATTTGAAAATACAATGTTCTTAACATGTACTTTTGCATATATGCTTCACCACAACATGGCAATAGGGAAATCACGTTGATTTTGACTTTCAGTATATCAGGACATCAAGAGGAAAACATTTTTTCAGCATGATGTTTTCAGGGACGAAATTTCTGCGTGTCCTTCTCTCCATGCTCGATACACTGTTCCAGTTGTCCCTATTCATAAAAATCTTGTTACTCCAGAATTTGCACGTGATGCCTGTCGATTACCAGCCTTATACAATTTACAGGCGTATAAACATTTTCTAGATAACTGGGGAACGGTATGAATATATTTGTATGTATTTGCATTTGAGTGCTGAAATGAAGTTTATGAATTAATTATTTACATAAATAATGAAATTGAAAGCTATAATTACAATATTTTTAATTGTTAAAAGATACTATGGTTGGTGTCAATAGATCTAGAGTATTTTAATATATATTATATACATTGGTATTTTTATGAACGCATGGATTACAAAAAATTCCTTTTTCAGGTGTATTATCTATGCATGTCAGAATAAGTGCTTGAATTTCTGATGACGCCAGTCTATATTCGTAACGATAAGTGAAGATAACCAACATTAGTCGATCCTATATTGAAATCTTGCAAACAATTAAAAGAATTGTAAACACTCGAACACTCGGAATTGGTAAATATTATGGACACCATTTTAGGCCAGAAAATATAAAAAAATATATTTATTCTGATAGCGGTAAATGTTCACGAGACAGGTTATAAATGTACTATTCTTTTTTATTTCAATATTCACACTTAACTTTAAATATATACATATAGATAAGATCGCTTTGTGGATTTCACCCGTGTTCATTGCCTTTATTTTTCATTTTTAATGCATGTATAAAATAATACTTCCGTATAATTATTTTCTTTAAGATATGAATGAAAGCGTTTATTTTACAAATAATCTTAATATTGAAACAAAAATTATTTGAAGTAATTTTACACATTTTTTAACACGAAACATGTAATTTTGACATTGAATATCAAAGACAGACTTCCTGTGTAATGCTACGTGTATATAGATTTTTTACATAATTGGGAGGTCTCCAGGTATATAACATCACTGTTAATTTGTTACTTAGACCACTCCTCCTCCTCGGGTAACCGTAAAGCAAAAAAAATATATTTCGGTCTTCAAGTCTTTGAGTATTGTTTAGATTTCATTATCGCTTATTTTTGTTAAAAAATTCAGATTAAAGTTCTAATATTTCTCATTATCCAACAAAATGGACTCTTTCCTTAAGTATTTAAAAGAAAAAAAAGTAAAATTGGTGAGAGTGCAAGGATGTGTCAATCAAACTCATTCAAAATTTTTTTCAATAACTTAAAGATGAAATAAATTTAATACATTTTTGTGTGAAATGGTATTAAAATGTATAAGTCGTGATTTTATACAGAAAATATAAGCTTCAAATCTGTGTCCATGCACCTGTAAGCATCACGTAAAAATTAGCGTTACTGACATTTGATATCACTTTATGCAAAAAATTACTGAAAAAGGTTACGTACCTGATATGATTTGAGGATAACATAATCATTCATTGATAATCATCCACGTAACTGATTGTGTTAAGCAGTAACTGTGTATAAATTAGCTTTCGTGTCCATTTTTTTATCACTGAAGCATGTTACCACAGAGGTTGAGATGGGACAGAAGTCTGCAACACGATATAGATTATCAGTTGCCAATCTTGCAGAGATTTTGTTAAATTCCGTAAGTAATGTTAGTTATTCTTTTTTAAAAAATTAAGCACATGACAAGTTCTTGGTGAAGTCTAACCCCAAGACCATTAACATGGGCGTGTAAAAAATTCCAAATTCTGATTTTTTTTTCTTGAGTTTTAGTTCACAAATATGCTAAGCCTTTCACATTTGCAATTTTATATGAACTTTGAATGCAAACATAATTATGATAAAATAATAGTTTCATTAAAAAAAATACCGCATTTCAAAAGTTGTTTTGCTTTGAAATCTGAACTTAAGTCTGTTCTTAATGTATGGTCTTATGGCCAGAGAGCCTTTCTGTAGTACAATGAATTTTCATTTTAAACACTGTTCTATCTCTACCCAAGTGAAAGTTTTTCTTATAAAATTTTTATTAATATTAGAAACAGTAGTTAATTTAACATTTTAGCATGACTCAAACGTCGCTTCAATGCTGGTAGAAGACTTTCAAGGATACGGTTCTGTCGTGCATCTTAATATGTCGCATATACAGCATAGCGATTTCTCCAGGCTTCCTCTCGGCACCAAGATCTCTCATTTCACTATTGGCGCAGTTACAGAGGCAATTTTATCTTGGACGATTATTCCAATATCCCAAGTTTTCTCCAATGACTATTGGCAAAATTTAGATGAATTTTATCGAAATGGAATCTGTGATGGGGATACGATGAACCTCTTTCAACTAAAGGAAAATTTTGTCAAAGCCCTTAACGACTATCCAATTGCAAGTGGTGGAGAGAAGCCTCCATCAGGTAATATTTTGATACACATTCTAACTTCTCATTGACTCATTATGCCCTTTCAATGGTTATGCATATATTTCCTTTTTTTTTCAAAAAATCTTATTTATTTTATAAATAACCAGGCTAAATATAAATGCCGATTAAGTCATTATCAGAAATCCTTTACGTCGCTTAGAGAAAAGCAATATTTTTTTCATATCGTCGCATTACTTGTGATGAGTAGATCCAACCCCTTTAATCCCAATGTATTTGCTAAATATATTGTTAAACATGCAACTTAATTTATTATAACCCCCGCTTGAAAAGTGGGAGGGTATATAGTAATCGGTATTTCCGTCCGTCCGTACGTCCGTCTGTTAAGCTTTGGTGTACCCATCTCTTATCCGCAACTCCGACGGACAACTTCGGAATGGACATTTTTCCGAACTTGCGCACCCTTTTCCTTTAAAGCTATCATCTTAGGGTTTTTTTTAAATGGTGGGGTTTTTATAATCAAATTGATTTATGAAAAAAAAAATTCAACATTTTCTGCTAGTTTTTGAGATATTTGAGTTCAAAAACAAAAATCCCATGGGGAAACATGAACTTAAAAATACCCCACAAAAAACCCCACAAAAACCCCATGGGGTTTATTTTTCACCCCATGGGGTTAAATAACCCATATTATTTTTCGTGGGGTTTTTTAACCCACGTCTCACTAAAAATAAAATGTGGGGTTTATTATCCCATAATTTTTTATGTGGGGTAAAAAAACCCATATTATTTCTCTTAATGCTTGTAATTATCAAGTGAGAATTATAAAATAAATATTGTTTGGAGTTGCAACATAAATTAAGTACAATACATGTACATTTTTTATCAACTTTGTAACAATTTAATTAATTAATTTTTTTTTTCAAATTCATTGATATACAGTACCTGGCCATAAGTGAGTCATAATTTTATTTTTACACTATATATTTCATTGAAAAACCTATTTTCATAAAAACTTGTTGTGAAGTCAATTTTAGCTCAATTTTCATGATTTTTTCACTGAAACATGCAGAATTATTCAAATTTTCTTATCTTAAATGATAAACAAAATGATACTTAAACTATTGAGAATAAATCATAAAATATTGTCATGACAAAATTTTCTAACCTCAAATTACTATGATTTCTTAACAAATTGAAGTCTTAAAATTTTTGTTTTGCACTTGACCTGTGATTTCACGGTAATGCATAAAGATAAAACTATTTTGAAATAATGTGAAGAAACTACAACAAATTCTGCATTTTATGGTGTTTTAGACATTAAAAAGAAACAATAAATGACACTGCAAGAATATTTTAGAAAAATGTGTTTCCTAATGAAATATATAGTGGAAAAATAAAATTATGACTCACTTATGGCCAAGTACTGTACATTTATCACTGCATATGTAAATTAGACATGGCATAAGCATGATAAGAAGGGAATTAAATTATATTTTTTTGACTGACCCGTAAGTGAAAAAGTAAACAAATACGGATTAAAAGTTTGAAAGTTAATCTAATATTCCAAGTGGGGGAGAGAAATGAATATAAAAAAAGACATTGGAGTGGACCGGCAATTTCATCAGAAAAACAATGTAAAAAATAACGTGACTTTGTTTACGCTAGCGTAGCTCACAGGTTATTGTTTTCACTATTTTACTGATAAAACTGCCGACTCCTCAGTCCTGTGACCTGTTATTGAACACTGTTGATCGTGAATCACATAGTAATGATAGTTGTTCTACTTACATGGAGTTTAGTTTGAGCTCTGCTGTTTGTAGCATAATGGACTTGATTCAAACAAAGACAAAAACTTCTCTACTTTTCAAAGAATGTTTTTGAAATTGATTGAAAGAGACCAAATCAAATCATGACTTGTGATACTTCTAATTCCTCATTTTGGCACCATTGTCACCCACATCTTTTTCTTTCCCTATGTATAAGTCGTACTCTAAGAAACATATGGGTGACTCTGACAAATAGCGTAAAATTCAAAGACTAAACTGTTATATTTATCCGGAATTTGTTTTTCAGCTACACTGACAAAAGTTAAGTATATTATACTTATAGATGTTTATGCCCACTGGCCCTGATTTGGGAATAAATCCCATTGTATTCCATTCTAAATAATCTGTAAATGCAGTAGCTTCTCAATCCTAAACCAGAAAAATGCTTTCTTTAAAGTGATTAAAAGAACCAGTTCGTCTTCTTTCATGCAATATAACACTTTTATAGCTTTTTCAAAGGAATTAATAAATTTAAATCATAAAAAAAGAGATGAAAGAAGACGAACTGGTAGCGTTTGGAAGGTGTTATGGAATAAAAATACCACACCAAGCAAATTTACATGAAATAAAATGAAAGAAAACCCGGCTATAGCCCTCAAGGTTTCACTGGTCAGCATGATCAAGGACTCTAATAAATTCATTCCATACGCATACAGGTATGGACTGACTATATAAAATCTAATATTTATTTTTGAATATTAATTATGTCTATAAGGCAGCTATAAAGCTCCTCCATTTTTCAATAATTTATTTAAATATTTAAAACTTATAGCCTTGAGTAGAAAACAGTCTCTCATTTTCTTAAATGTTTCAAAAATATATATATAAACAAATAATTTGATAAAGTAAGAATTACTAAATACAAGAAATTTATAATTTATCATTTTAGATTAAGAAAGACCATACTTTTACAAGAAAAATAAAACCATACTTGCCAAATTTCATTGAAATATGAAAAAGTTATGGCCAGTTAAGAGAACACACCTGTACGATTGACTGAATATGACATGATGATGGATTCTCCCCATGTAAATTTCAGTTCTTTTACAACTTATCATGTAAGATTTAGAAAGTTTATGCCATTGCAAGAAAAATAAAAACAATACTTGCCAAATTTCATTGAAATATGAAAAAGTTATGGACAGTTAAGAGAACACACTAGTACGACTGACTGTGTATTACATGATGATGGATTCTCCCTATATAAATTTATGTTCTCTTTTAGTTTTACAATTTAATCACTTAGGATTAAGAAAGACCATACTTTTACAAGAAAAATAAAACCATACTTGCCAAATTTCATTGAAATATGAAAAAGTTATGGCTAGTTAAGAGAACACACTAGTACGACTGACTGTGTATTATATGATGATGGATTCTCCTTATATAAATTTATGTCCTCTTTCAGTTTTACAATTTATCATTTTAGATTAAGAAAGACCATACTTTTACAATAAAAATAAATCCATACTTGCCAAATTTCATTGAAAAATAAAAAAGTTATGGCCAGTTAAGAGAACACACTAGTACGACTGACTGAATATGACATGATGATGGATTCTCCCTATGTAAATTTCAGTTCTTTTACAACTTATCATGTAAGATTTAGAAAGTTTATGCCATTGCAAGAAAAATAAAACCAATACTTGCCAAATTTCATTGAAATATGAAAAAGTTATGGACAGTTAAGAGAACACACTAGTACGACTGACTGTGTATTACATGATGATGGATTCTCCCTATATAAATTTATGTTCTCTTTTAGTTTTACAATTTAATCACTTAGGATTAAGAAAGACCATACATTTACAAGAAAAATAAAACCATACTTGCCAAATTTCATTGAAATATGAAAAAGTTATGGCCAGTTAAGAGAACACACTAGTACAACTGACTGTGTATTACATGATGATGGATTCTCCCTATATAAATTTATGTTCTCTTTTAGTTTTACAATTTAATCACTTAGGATTAAGAAAGACCTTACTTTTACAAGAAAAATAAAACCATACTTGCCAAATTTCATTGAAATATGAAAAAGTTATGGCTAGTTAAGAGAACACACTAGTATGACTGACTGTGTATTACATGATGATGGATTCTCCCTATATAAATTTATGTCCTCTTTCAGTTTTACAATTTATCATTTTAGATTAAGAAAGACCATACTTATACAATAAAAATAAATCCATACTTGCCAAATTTCATTGAAAAATAAAAAAGTTATGGCCAGTTAAGAGAACACACTAGTACGACTGACTGAATATGACGTGATGATGGATTCTCCCCATGTAAATTTCAGTTCTTTTACAACTTATCATGTAAGATTTAGAAAGTTTATGCCATTCCAAGAAAAATAAAACCAATACTTGCCAAATTTCATTGAAATATGAAAAAGTTATGGACAGTTAAGAGAACACACTAGTACGACTGACTGTGTATTACATGATGATGGATTCTCCCTATATAAATTTATGCTCTCTTTTAGTTTTACAATTTAATCACTTAGGATTAAGAAAGACCAACTTTTACAAGAAAAATAAAACCATACTTGCCAAATTTCATTGAAATATGAAAAAGTTATGGCCAGTTAAGAGAACACACTAGTACGACTGACTGTGTATTACATGATGATGGATTCTCCCTATATAAATTTATGTTCTCTTTTAGTTTTACAATTTAATCACTTAGGATTAAGAAAGACCATACATTTACAAGAAAAATAAAACCATACTTGCCAAATTTCATTGAAATATGAAAAAGTTATGGCCAGTTAAGAGAACACACTAGTACGACTGACTGTGTATTACATGATGATGGATTCTCCCTATATAAATTTATGTTCTCTTTTAGTTTTACAATTTAATCACTTAGGATTAAGAAAGACCTTACTTTTACAAAAAAAATAAAACCATACTTGCCAAATTTCATTGAAATATGAAAAAGTTATGGCTAGTTAAGAGAACACACTAGTATGACTGACTGTGTATTACATGATGATGGATTCTCCCTATATAAATTTATGTCCTCTTTCAGTTTTACAATTTATCATTTTAGATTAAGAAAGACCATACTTTTACAATAAAAATAAATCCATACTTGCCAAATTTCATTGAAAAATAAAAAAGTTATGGCCAGTTAAGAGAACACACTAGTACGAATGACTGAATATGACGTGATGATGGATTCTCCCCATGTAAATTTCAGTTTTTTTAGAACTTATCATGTAAGATTTAGAAAGTTTATGCCATTCCAAGAAA